GCCATCCCACGACCCCCCGCTCCTACAATTCCGCCATCCCACGACCCCCCGCTCCTACAATTCCACGATCCCCCGACCCCCCGCTCCTACAATTCCATCATCCCCCGATCCCCCGCTCCCGCTCCCTCTCCCCGTCCCCTCCCGGCCCAGCCCCCTCGGTCTCCATGGCAACACCCGGAAGCCGCCGCCCATCTCCCCTGGCATCACCCGGAAGTTCCCCGCCCATCTCCATGGCAACGGCCGGAAGTGCCCGGCGGTCTCCCTGGTGACGCCGGAAGCGGCGGCGCGGGGCGGGCTCGGGCGGCAGTGACGCTGAGGGCGCCATGTCGGCCATGTCTGCGGGCGGCGGAGCGCAGCGGGACGCGGGGGCCGCGGGCGGGTGAGGCACGGCCGGGCGGGCTGGGGCGGCCCCGCCGCCGCCGCGGGAGCACCGCCTCACCCTCCTCTCCTCTTTTCCAGGCGCCGCAGCAAGTGGGACCAGCCCGGCCCGGCTCCCACCTTCCTGCTGCCCGGCACGGCGCCGCTGCCCGGGCGGCCGTTCGCCGGCGGGGGCGGCGATGGCGGCGCCGCCGTGGCCGGTTCCGAGGGCTCCGCGGCGCCCTCGGGAGCGCTGGATGCGGCGGCGGCCGTGGCGGCGAAGATCAACGCCATGCTGATGGCCAAGGGGAAGCTGAAGCCGGCGCCCAGCACGGCCGACAAGGTGGGGGGGGCCAGGGGGGCCTCACGGGCGGGCTCCGGGGAACCGTCGTTTGTCGGGGAACGGTGGAGTTGGGGGCGACAAAATCACTCAGGAAACATGCTTTTAATTTTTTTCTTCGGCTGTGGGGTCAGGCCTTGTGAGGCTTTACGAAGCCGCCTCTGGGGAGATAAAGTTTTTCCCCGGGATCACGGAATGTTGTGGGCTGGAAGCTGGAAGGGACCCCGCGAGCATCATCCAGCCCCACTCTTATTTTTCCTGAAGGGTTTTCCAGGTAGCAGAGCTGATGGAAAAGCCTGATTTGGGTTGGAAAAGGGCCTTAAAGCTCATCCAGTTCCATGGGCAGGGATACTTTCCGCTAGCCCAGGTTGCTCCACGGTGGCCTCGGACACTTCCAGGGATCCAGGGGCAGCCACAGCTTCTCTGGGAATTCCATCCCAGCCCCTCCCCGCCTCACAAGGAGGAATTCCTTCCCAGTACCCCACCTGGCAGTTTAAAACCGTCCCCCCTTGCCCTGTATAAAAAGTCCCTCTCGTTCTGTTCTTTTTTTAAAGCCCTTTTTGGGCACTGGAAGTAAAATCTGGCACTTTGGCACCTCGAAAAGTCGGCAGGTGCTGCTGCCTCAAATCTTCCACCTCTTTTTGTCCCGAGCTCTGGTGACACCCCGTGCTGAGGGAACCACTTAACCAAGGAGTTAACCTGCATTTGGGATTGGCAGTTTTGCTGCACATTGGTTTTATTATTTAATACAGTAAAAACATATATATATATATATAATGAGCATGTGATTTTATTGCACACGTTGCTGTCGGTAGGAAATGCTCAGTGATGGCATTTCCCAGAGTGATTAAACTCTGCTGACACTTCAGGTTGGGAGGGGGTGGAAATTAAGGAGCTGCAGATTAACAAATGTAGGTTTTTTTAATAAAAAAGTGGAAGGAGTGGAGCAGTTTAATGTCTGTACAGTTTAATGTCTGTACAGTTTAATGTCTGTGCAGTGCACTGGAGTCCCTCCACAGCTGCCCTGGGGCTCTTTTTTAAGTGCTGTGCCTTCCTGTGGTATTTGCTGAGTGGTTGGGGGTTACTGGAAGGTTCTCTTTTTTTTTTTTTTTTTAAATAGAGTCTTGGTTGATGTTTGTAACCCCCCCAAAATCCATTCCAGAGCATTTAGAAGGCTGTACTCACTCCACATGTTGAAAAAAAGCTCCCAGGTCTTTGTGGTAACCCCCAACTCCTCCTAAATCTGTGCTTCTTTGGCTTTTTATTTCTTAGAATGTCGATACTGACACAAAATATTACGTTTTTAAGAAGGGGGGGAGTGTGGATGAGTTCAGATCCTGAGCAGAAATTCTAAATTCTCTCTGTGTTTAAAGGCAGTTGAGATAAGAAGGAGCTGGAAACGTGAACTTGGTGTTTCTTTAGTCTCAGGTCTCTGTCAGAGCTGCCAGTCCAAGTGGGAGATGCCCTGGTTGCTGTCCAACAGCTCCCCAGCTCAGTCCTACATCTGCCCCTCCCCTTCCAGGGCAGGAGCATTAATCACTCTGTTAAAGTGTGCTGAAGATAAAGTGTGTTTGTTTGGGCTCAGGGCTGTGAGGAGGCAGACGGAGCAGACACAGTGTTGTTCCTGTTAATAGTGGTGAAGATCTTGGTGCCTGGAAAGGGGGAGCGAGGAGGGCGTTGGGGAAGGGCCAAACGAGGGGGACCTTGGCCCTCCCGAGCCCTGGGGCCGGTCTGTCCCTTGCCCCGTGGCTTTCCAACCGCTGGGAATGTTCTCTGTTGAAGCTGCAGGCTCTGGGCAAAGGTCCAGCCGCCAGCAAGAGCAAAGATGACCTGGTGGTGGCCGAGGTGGAGATCAACGACGTGCCCCTCACCTGCAGGAACCTGCTGACCAGGGGCCAGACCCAGGACGAGGTAGGAGCGCCCCGGCAGCACTGCTGGGGCTGAAGTTTCGTGACACCTTTTACCTTTTGAGCCCATAAAATGAACCCAGAGGTCAGGTTTGACCTGGGAGGTGGAAGGAACCTGCAGCAGGTTCCGCTCAGTCGTCGCTCCGTTGTGGTTTCGGAGACACTCGCTCGGTTTGGTGAGGTCAGAGCTGCTCTCCCACCACTTCACTGAGGGCTTTGGGGTTTTTAATCAGCAGCACAGGCTGAACTTGGGTGTTTGGTGGGTGCTCTGTTGATGGTTGGTCTCTGAGCCCCCGGGTTTCCATCTCCTTGCAGATCAGTCGCCTGAGCGGAGCCGCCGTGTCCACCCGGGGCAGGTTCATGACTGCAGAGGAGAAAGCAAAAGTGGGACCTGGGTTTGTAGCTCTTTTCTTTGGGGTTCTGACTTTTTCTCTCCTTGGGAGGGGAATTGCTGAGGCTCCTGTTTGCTTTGTCCTCCATGAGCAGTTTTGCTCATAATTTGCCTTTTTTCATAATTTGCCATAATTCATAATTTGCCATAATTCATAATTTACCATAATTCATAATTTGCCCTTTTTCATATTTTGCCATAATTCATATTTTTTGCCACAATTCATATTTTTGCCACAACTCATAATTTGCCTTTTTTCATAATTCGCCATAATTCATATTTTGCCACAATTCATAACTTGCCATTTTTATATTTTACCTCAATTCTTAATTTCCCACTATTCATAATTTCCCACTATTCATAATTTCCCATTTTTCATAATTTCCCACTATTCATAATTTCCCACTATTCATAATTTCCCATTTTTCATTATTTCCCACTATTCATAATTTCCCACTATTCATAATTTCCCACTATTCATAATTTCCCATTTTTCATACTTTACCACTTTTCATAATTTGCCATTTTTCCATAATTTGCTGTAATTCATAATTTGCCATAATCCATGTGTTGCCACAATTCATAATTTGCCACTATTCATAACTTGCCATTTTTCATATTTTGCCAGAATTCATAATTTCCCACAATTCATAACTTGCCGTGGTTCATTTTTTTACCACAATTCGTATTTTCCACAAGTCATAATTTGCCATTTTTTCATATTTTGCCATAATTAATTTTTTACCATTTTTCCTATTTTTGCATTTTTTCCTGTTCTTCCATTTGTCATATTTTGCCAGAATTCATAATTTACCACCATTCATAATTCAACTTTTTAAATAATTTGCCATCATTCATAATTTGCCATCATTCCTAATTTGCCACCATTCCTAATTTGCCATTTTGTTGGTCCTGGCCACACAACTTCTTCCCTACCTGCCTGATATTGTTTGAAATTCCAACCAAACCAATCCACAGGAATAGATCCCACTCTGCTCAACTTCTTCCCACTGGACTCTGCAGCTTCCAAATCCAATTTTCTCACTGCTTTTAGTTCATTCACCTTCTGTGCACAAAGAAATTCAAGTTTCTGGTGGTATAAATTTAATAAAACATCACATAAACGTATTTTTTCAGCGTTTCCTGAGCGCTGTGATACTCCAGGGCCTTGCATTCCCTTTTTTGAGTAGATCTTTGTGGCAGCCTTGCTGCTAAGTTACACTGAACCCATAAATTGAACCCATTCTGTGTGTTTTCCGTGGGTTTAATGGGATTTTTGACCTTCCCTCCCCAGGGACCGTCCCTTGTATCTCCACGTGCAGGGGCAGACGCGGGAGCTGGTGGACAGTAAGTGCCAACCATTCCTGTTTTCCTGGTTTATTTGGGACAGAGGGGCTGTGGGAGCGGCCTTGGTGGGTTTGTGCTGTGAATATCTGAGGGTTGAAAACAGACTGGGTTTAAACACTGGGAAGGTCTGCTCAGAAATTCCCGAGGTCCCGCCTGCTGCATCCGGCAGGAAACCTTGGAGGCACCCCAGGGAAGGTGGGGGCAGTGGGGGATCTCATGGATAACACACCCAGATCCCACTGGAACGGGACAGAGTGACGGGAAGGGACCACACTGGGTCACCAGGCAGGATCACCCCCCTGGCACGTGGGATGTGTCCAGGTGGCTCTGGAATCGTCTCCTTCCTCCCCCTTCTCCAGCCCCAACTCAGCTCTCCCTCAGACCAGGAGCTCCCTGCAGGAGCAGGAGAGATGGAGGCAACAATTCCCTGGGAATCCCGGGATGGGGCAGGTCGGGAGGGACCTCAGGGGGTCACCCGGTCCCACCTCCCTGCTCAGGATCATCCCAGAGCACGTGGGATGTGTCCAGGTGGCTCTGGAA